CTTCCGAGAAACCAAAACTTTAGCTTATCATCTGAGCAACCAAAACTCAATGGTCTGCACTTCCATCTCTCTCATCCCTATGATCCCAACTTCCTTATTGGAAGCAAATCAAGCCACATTCCAAAGCTTACACAAAATTAGTCCACAAAAGATCAGCCCATGAAGAGAAACCACCATTTATAGCCCAATTGCTCACAACCCATGATAAAATACAATACCCGACACCCATTCAAAATTGCCCAGGCCCATAAGCATCCATTAAAGTCTCCAAAATCAAACCCATTCATCAGAAAATAATGAAGCCCAAACAACAAAGCAACATGCCCAATCAACAAATCCATAACCCAATTGGTGTCTTTTCTTAGAGGAAATTACACTATTCCAGGCATTTAAACTTTATTGTGCAAATGTCAGGTGTCAAATTTTTTTAATCATAAATCAGGTAATTAAAAATTTAAAACCCTAATTTTTCCCCTTCTCCCGTCTTCCCCCCCCTCCCTCTCCCTCTCCCTCTCCCTCTCCATTCTCTCTGTACACTCTCGGAATGGCAGTGTCGAGCGTGCAGGTGGTGGCTCACGGCGCAGCGACGACGCTCCCCCCCTCTCTCTGTCCTTCCTCTGTGAATGGAACGGCAGCGACGCTGCTGCTCCCCTCCTCCTCCCCTCTTTGTCCTCTCTCTAAATGGCGTCGAGCGTGTAGGCGATGGCTCACGGCCCAACGGCGACACTGCAATGAACAGCGGTGGCTAAGGCAGTGGGTTAAGACGACTGATGAGGCGATGGTGACACTGCAATGAACTGCGCCGACTGATAAGGCGGTGGCTCAAGGCGCAGCGGCGACGCTGCAATGGTAGTCCTTTAATGCGCAAATCTGACTTGAAAATGGTGGTTGTAAATCTGACTTGAAAATGGCGGTGGTTTTTGTGCAACGGATTTAATCTGATTTTGCATACGATCGTTGACAGTGGTTAGTTGTGACGACAGTGAGGTGTTGACGGTTTTGTATATGATTTTTTGGTAGATCTGGCGGTGGCGGATCTGGCGGGTGTTGGTGGTGGCGGTG